TCTTAGGGTGTTAATAGGGTTCATAGGGTTTACAGGGTTTTGCAGGGCTTAGAGGGTTGCTAGGGTTGATAGGGTGTACATTTTAGGATTGACAGGGCTAAGATTCTAGGATTTGCAGGGTTGATGGGTTTATAGGGCTGATGGGGTTTATTTTCTAGGGCTTTTAGGGTTGGTATTATGGGGGTTGCTAAGGTATTTATGGTCCCAGGGTTCATAGGGATCATACTATTTAGGGTTTACGGGGTTGATGGGGCTTATCGTGTTTAAAGGGATTGATCGGGTTTATTTTACAGGGTTGATAGGGCTTGTAGGGTTTACGGCGTTGATGCTACAGGGTTTGTAGGGTTGATCGGATGGCCCTCGGCTTCCTCCAACCGCTTAGCATCTAAACTTATGGACCCTACTCGGGGGTTTAGGGTTTAGGGTTTCGGGTTCAGGGCTCAGGGCCTTGGGTTTTAGGGCTTTACGGACTTCTTCTGCTTTGGCAGGAAGTCGCTGCAGCTACGACACTTCGTAGCACTAGTTGTCCCAGGCAAACCAAGGAAGGAACCTGCACCCGAAACTCTAAATCCTAAATCCAAAACCCTAGATTCCGGCGTTGATAGGGGAACATAACCTGCTCACCGGTGTGGGGTCCTAGTCCAAGTCGGCTCAGAAATCCATCGCACCCTGCATCCTAAACTGGAAAAACCCTGCACCCTAAACCCTATGAGGCCGAAGAAGCACCAAAGCCCCCTAAACCCTCAACCCTAAACCCTCAACCCTCAAGCCCCAACCCCTAAACCCTACAAGCCCCATGGCCTCTAAGCCCTACAAGCGCCGCAGCACTTCCTGGAAAGGTGGGGGGCCTCCCTCTTCCAAAACTCCAACGTCGGGAGCACCCCTAGGGTTTAGGGTTTAGGCGGTTTAGGGCTTAGGGCAATTGATGGCCTTCGAAGCTTCGAAAGACTGTACCACTTGGCCCTTCCCACGGCCCTTCTGCTGCCAAGCCTTCTTTGACACTCCCCGTAGATGCCCATCGGCAAGGAGCCTATGGCATCAGCCTCCTTCTCGCTGGCGAAGACGAGCATGCCCCAGGTCAAAGGTTGCAGCTCACCAAACCGAGGATGCCCAGTTGCGGAGGTCCTCGGGTGCCAGCCAGTTCGGCCCTCTAGACCCGACAAACTCTACGACCACTACCAAGCCCCTTAACCCTATCAACCCTGCAGACCTTGCAAAGCCTATAAGCCCCATAAAACCCACAAACCCTATAAATCCTATAAACCCTATAAACCCTATACACCCTATAAACCCTGGATAAACTGTATAAGCCCTGTAAACCCCGTAAGCCCCCGAATCCAACAAAACCCCGGACAAAACCCCAAATCAAAACCACTAAGAGCCCTAAACCCGAAAAAAACCTAAAAAATAACCTGTAACCCAGAAGCCTCCAAACCCAACAACCCCCGGATTATCCCCATACAACACCCCTAGGAGAAAAACACCCCCCAGGAGATAAACCCTAGAAACCCTACAAACCCTCTTAACCCTACAAACCCTCTAAGCCCACAAACCCAAGAAACCCCGGATCAACCCCAAATAAAAGCCCCTAAACCTTAAACCCTAAACCCTAAACCCCAAACCCCAAACCCCAAACCCTAAACCCCAAACCCTAAACCCTAATAGCCGACTGCTAGGGCCGCTGCGGCGACGACCTCCTCCTCTTCGGGCTGTGCGTCCATGATGCTGCACTTGAACCTTCTTTGGATTTAGGGTTTAGGGTTTAGGGTTTAGGGTTTAGAGGGGGATATAGTGCAGTTGAACCTTCTCCCGAAGGTTTGAGGGCGGGGGGCGGTCCAGGGATGGTGGGTCTTGTGAAGTTAGGGGGCTTTTAGGGTTTTGAGGTTCTAGGGGTTTGGGTTGAAGGGTTTTGGGGTTCCAGGGTGTTCGGGTTTTAAATGAACAGCCTTCTGCTGGCCGCGAGTCAGGGCTTCGGGGTCTTAAAGTTTTTTGTACTTTGGGGATGAGCTTTGAAAGTCCGTACTGAAGCTAAACCCCAAATTCTAAACCGACCCCACAACCCCAAAGAAGCGGCTTTGAATGCAGCCATCCCTAAACCCTAAACCCTAAACCCTAAACCCTAAACCCTAAACCCTAAACCCTAAACCCCAAACCCCAAACCCTAAACCCCAAACTAAACCCTGAGCCCAGCCGAACTTCCGGCAACACCTAAACTCTACAGAGCCCCCCTTGTGTGTGCCTGAAACCCGAAAGCCGTAAGCCTTGAACCCACAAGACACAAGACCCCCGCCCGGTTCCCCCCCCTCTCCCCCCTCCCCTTCAAAAGAGAAACTCAAGCCTTTGGACCCCTAAACCCCACCCCGGAACCCCAAACCCAAGAAACCCAAAACATTACAAACCCTAAACTCCTAAACTCCCCCCCCATTCCGCCCCCGCACCCCCCCCCCCCCCCCCCCCCGCCCCCCCCCCCCCCGCCCCCCCCCCCCCCCCCCCCCCCCCCCCGCCCCCCGCCCCCACCCCCCCGCCCCCCCCCCCCCCCCCCCCCTCCCAACAAAAACAAAGAGCAAACTCCTAACCCAAAAAAAAAAAAGGAATAAGAGAAACGTCTTTTGCGGTCTGAGGTGCGCGACCTGATGCACCTGACCCCTTTGGTTCACGAGCCTCACCTGGGATCCCGGGGAGACCAACATCCCTGGAAGGGTTTTTTGCTTTTGAGCGATTGGGGGTTTCACCGTCTTAGGGTTTTGAAGGTTTTAGGGTTGTAGGGTTTGGGCTTGTTTTTGAGCGATTAGGGGTTTTAAGGTTTTAGGGTTTTAGGGCTTTAGGTCGAAGGGTTGTAGGGTTTTAGGGTTCAAGGGTTTAAGGGTCGAAGGGTTTTAGGGCTTTTGGGCTTTAGGGTTTGGGGCTTTAGGGTTTGGGCTTTAGGGCTCAGGGGTTTGAAGTTGACCGTTTAGGGCAAGTAGCTTAGGGTGTATAAGATGTTGGTAATGTAGTGGTTTGTTTATATATGGCTCGCTACAAGTGGTTACAGGTGGTTATCAGTTCATTTAAAAAGAATGTTTTCGGACATTGAGGAAGGACAGTGCTTGTGCTCATATTGGCGCACGAAGAATTAAGGACGACGCTGAACTGATATGGAGGTTTCCGAAAATAGGGGACCCCTACTGCGCCGGGCCGATAGTTCGACCCACCAACATCTTGGGGTTGTTACACCCATACCCCGCCCTCTTCCCCATAGACTCCTGACACAATGGGGCTGGGGGCCTCCTCCGGGGCTTCTATAGTACTATATTCTCAAAACGGGGTATTAATTTCTCCGCTAGCAGGCGTAGGGAAAAACGCTACTTCTCGGCACTCCGCTACTCCGCGGGAGCCTTCACTGTCTGCGTGCCATCCAACATGTGCCGTGGGTCGAAACTTTCGGCCCGGGGGTGTAATCTAGACCCCTGGTAGGAAGGTATGAATGTTTAGGGTTTAGGGTTTAGGGTTTAGGGTTTAGGGTTTAGGGTTTAGGGTTTAGGGTTTAGGGCTTAGGGTTTAGGGTGGCCTTAAAGCCCAGTGCTTTAGATGAGGGTGCCCGACGAATTTCTTGGAGGAAGGGGGGCTCCTACGAATTCTTGGGGCTTGCCCTCAATCCTGAACCCCTCCAAGCCCAAGCACCGAACTCCCCAAGACCGCCCCAGCCCTTCAACCCGACACCCGACACAAGAAACCCCTAAACCCTTAAAGCCTGAACCCCCCAAATCCGACACCCCAAACCCTAAACCCCACCCAAAAAGCCCTCTGAAGTTTAACTCGTTTAGGGTTGAGGATTTGGGGTTTAGGGTGGAGGGTTCGGGTTGAGGGTTGAGGTTTATGGTTTAGGGCGTCGGCAAATACATTGTTTGGAAGACCTCAAAAGTCACGCCTTTGGGGGTGATAAAGTGTTCTTTGGGAAACTTTGGGGTGCAGCCGCAACCTCGGATTTCCGCAAACGCCGAGACCCGGAAAACCCAAAACCCTAAACCCGACACCCCAAAACCCCCAAAACCCCTAGCCCTAAAATCCCCAACGAAACCCCTAAAACCCCCAAAACATCCAAAACATCCAAAACGCCCCAAAACGCCCCAAACCGCCCCAAACCGCCCCAAAACGCCCCAAAACGCCCCAAAACGCCCAAAACCCCCAAACCGCCCAAAACCCCCCAAGACCTTTTAAACCCGAAGCCCCGAAGCCCTAAACCCTAAATCCTAAACCCTAAATCCTAAATCCTAAACCCTAAACCCCCAAACCCTTTAAACCCCGAAGCCCTAAACCTATTTTCAGCTGCAGCGCGTGCCCCGACGTGGGTGCCCGTATGCGTCGCATCCATGGGCTGCACATCTGACAGGGTGGTTTAGGGTTTGGGGTTTAGGGTTTAGGGTTTGGGGTTTAGGGTTTAGGGTTTGGGGTTTAGGGTTTGGGGTTTAGGGTTTAGGGTTTGGGGTTTAGGGTTTGGGGTTTAGGGTTTGGGGTTTAGGGTTTGGGGTTTAGGGTTTGGAGTTTAGGGTTTGGAGTTTAGGGTTTGGGGTTTGGGGTTTAGGGTTTGGGGTTTAGGGTCCCAAAATCGGCCCCATGTGGTTTACTCCGTCGGGTTTATAGGGTTGTCGGGTTTATCGGGTTTGTAGGGTTGGTGGGGTTTTGTGTAGGTCTGTACAGGGTGTTGTGGGGTTTGTGTAGGTTTGTATAGGGTTTTGTAGGGTTTGTAGGGTTTGCACAGGCTTTGTTTAGGTCATTTTGGGATTTTTTAAGGGTATGTGTAGGCTTTGAAAGAGTTTTTAGGGGTTTATAAGGTTTTTAGGGTTATCTACATGAGCACCGAAAGACCGACGCCTGTAGGGTGTTAGGAATGATTGTGCGCCCTGAATATCCCAATACCCGGAATCAAAACCTCGCAAGACCTAAACCCTACACCCTACACCCTAAACCCTAAACCCTAAACCCTAAACCCTAATCGAATTTCGCAGAAGACCCATCCCCGCCACGCAGAGGATGCACAGCATGCCCCCGGTGATGCCGATGGCGGCCGTGTAAGTCGACTCGTTCCTCCACATGGCGTAAGCCCTAAACCCTAAACCCTAAACCCTAAACCTTAAACCCTAAACCCTAAACCCTAAACCCTAAACCCTAAACCCTAACCCTAAACCCCAAACCCCTAAAAAAGCACTTGAGAATTCAGGGTTGCATGCGGTGCCAGTGTGTGGTGCTCGCCAAAGGAACTTTTTTGAACAAGGCCGTCCACACCCCCGTCGCCCGATCCGACAGGGATCTGGGCTTGTGACCTGAGAGTCCTTTCTCAGGAGACTAAAGGAGGGACGCTGATAAGGGACCTTAAGGGTTCTGGGGGGGGGATGTAGGGGCTACTACGTAAGGTCTATGCAGGGGTTGTTTCGGGAGACTCAGGGTCCCTCCTAGAAGAATTTCTCCTTATCCCCCTTAACTTTCTCTCGCAGCCTGCAGAAGAAACAGCTCTACACTAGCGCCTTTCACAGAAGTGCAAGGGCATGGGTCGTTATTCCGTACGCTGAACTACTATTTGCTTCAGAACCCCAAAAGAATTAAAAATGACAATCCCTATATTACCCTTAATAAGGAAGAATGTTTTTCATTTTTTCGGGGTTCTTAAGCAATTCGTAGTGAAGGCCAGAAACCGAAGCACATGGGAGGCAGCCCCGAAAACCAACTTAAGCCAACTCCTTAACCGGGTTCGCCTCGCCAACGGTCAAGCCCCAAACCTGAATAGGGACCCTAAACCCCACATAGAGGCTATTTGGGTTTAGGGTTTAGGGTTTAGGGTTTAGGGGGTTGAGGATGTGGGGTTCGGGCTCTTTGTTTTGGGTTTTGCCGGGCGTCAGCGGATTGGACTCGGATTCGATGAGGAGGTCCAGCGGAAGGCTCTCTACCAGTGCAAACAGCGACCTTGGAGTGGCATGAAAAAGGGGGCTGAGGTTGGGATGTTCCCCCCTTATACGAACGGTCCTGAATCGGGCGTATAGTACCCCCCCCCATTCTGTAAACCCTAAACCCTAAACCCTAAACCCTAAACCCTAAACCCTGGTTTAGCGCATTGCATCGAGGGGGAATCGGAGGGACATTCTTTGCACACAGTCTCTCGAAGCGCAAGCCCTATACGACACACGCCCAGCAGCTCAAGGGGTTGTGGGACAGCAGCTTCTCGTGAAGAACCCGAAACCATAAACCCTAAACCCTAAACCCTGAACCCTGAACCCTAAACCCTAAACCCTAAACCCTAAACCCTAAACCCTAAACCCTAAACCCTAACCCTAAACCCTAAACCCTAAACCCAAAACCTCACGAAACACAAGCACCACCCGAAACTAACCCGCCTCCAGGGTGTTCAGCCTTTTTTTGGGTACCCGACATCAACCCCAAAAAGGGTCCAGAAATTCGAGGAGTGACCATAACATAACCTAAAGGTCATAAAGCTCTTGGCCATTTTCGAAGTCTTTGGCAAGAGTCTTTGGCAAGAGTCTTTGGCAAGAGGCTTTGGGCCTTTGGAGGGGGTTGAAGGTCGGAGAAGGCACTTCCCCCCCAACGCCACGATCTGGGCCCCCGAAACACGACAACCCTAGCCCTAAACCCTAAAACTATGGGAATCTTCCGGAGGAGTCTCGCGGCCAATGCTGCATAAGCCCCACAAGTTGGGATGTTCTCCCTTAGACTAACAGTCCCTATTTGGGATTGTAATCGGGGGTACTATACTCCCTATTAAGGACTGTTAGTATAAACCCAATCAACCCTGAAAGCACTACGTGAACCCGAACACTACAAAACGCCTTGCCAGGAAAGGTGCGTGTGGTTCGTCACGCACCAGGAGGCATTACTTGCAGAGGCGCTTGGATCCGAAAGGGGGTACTCCACAAGCCTCCAGTTCAGCGGAGGGCTACTTGGGGGGCTGAGTTAGGGTTTAGCGTTTACGGTTTAGGGTTCCTCTTAACACCTCCAGTTTAGAGGGCTTTGAGGGCAGGCGGGAGTTCAGGGATTTCGCGAGAACTGACAGGGAGAGTCAAGGGGCTGTCATGGGGATTTCAAGGGTTCTTCGGCGGGGAGCTTTTCAAAGGCTTGCAAGAAGGTTTAGGGTTTAGGGTTTGGGGTTTGGGGTTTCGGGTTTAGCGTTTAGGGATCGCGATTTACTGGGAGTTAGGGCTTAAGGCTTATGCAGGGTCTGGGGCAACTCATGCCGGGCATCGTAGAAGCTTTTGGCTTCACGAGTTAAGCTTTGGGGTCCTTGAAGCCCCCCAAGCCCAGGAGCCTATTTTTGCAGCTCCGCTTATCAGTCTAAAACATTGGAAACACAAGAACGGCCGCCATAATTTTGCCAGAACTTGTAGTCTGGGTGCTCCATGCCAGCATCGGACCAGGCGTTGAGTTGCGGATCAAAGAAGCTGCACCTCTGACACAGCTCGGTGATCGGGCAGAAGGGTTGAGGGTTTAGATGGTTTATAGGGTTTTGGGTTATACGGTTCAGGGGTTTAGGGGTTTTGGGGGCTGGGGCTGGTTCGGAGGCTTTAGGTCAGCTGAGATGTTGAGGTGTTCGGGCTTTCGAGCAATCCACTCCACACATGTGGGGTTTTGTCGACAATAGGAACCTCTTGTGGTCTCCATTCATTCTCACTTTATCTGCGAAACTTGGTTTCAAGTGACGTGCTGGCGACAACGGCTAGAATACGCTCGAATCCTAGAGGCAGCGCAGGACCCTAAAAGCTAGATGTGGAAGACTCTTCGAACCGTATTTGGCTCTAAGGGGACCCTACAAGGAGGGGCCACCTTACTTTACCAACTGTTGCTAAGGGGTTGGTGTCCTTGGTGTCAGTCTGTCAGTCGGAGTTAAACCCTAAACCCTAAACCCTAAACCCTAACCCCTAACTCCCACTTGTCTAGTCTTCCTCGGCGGCCTCTCTCCCTTCACCGGAGGACGGTTGGTGATGGTGAAGGCGATGCGCTCGCTGCCGGAAACCTGGCGCAAGAGGAGTCCTTGGGGGTTGGGGTTTGGGGTTTAGGGTTTGGGGTTTAGGGTTTAGGGTTTGGGGTTTAGGGTTGATTGAGGGTTAAGGGTTAAGGGTTTGGGGCTTCCGGCGAACCTTTGTGAAAAGTATTTCGGATGTTCCGAGGACCCTTGGAGGGAACCAACATACCGCGCGTTGCCAACCTGTTGTAAGGGGTCCTGGGAATGTGGTTGCTACAGGCATTAGAAGTGTAGTATCTTAAACCCTGCACCCTAAACCCATTCGTGTAAGGTGGGTTTGGGATTTGGGGTCAACTTGCGCATGTTCCGCTGGGTTTTGGGGAAGCACTCCCCCCTGAACCCTGAACCGTTGAAGCCTTAGAGGTCAGGGTCCCCCCAAGAGAGGCCTATGTACTCCACAAAGAGCTTACACCCAGCAATCAGCATACATGTGCTTGTTTACACGACCCCTAGCCTTGGCTCCGAGTTGTTGCGCTCTAAACCCTGGCACCTAGCACCCTAAAACCCACACACCTTCACCCTAAACCCTAAACTCTAAACCCAACAACCCTAAACCCTAAACTCGAAACCCAACAACCCTAAAACCCTAAAACCCTGAACACTAACTTAGGGTTCTGAGACAAATCAGCCCCACATGGCTCCAACCCCCCACACCCTAAACCCTACTCTGGTTAAGGTTTGGCTTTAGGCTTTAGGGTGTGGGGTTCAGGGTTTAGGGTTTAGGGATTGTGTTTTGTTAAAGCCACTCGGCCCGAAGACCCCTAAAACCCCTAGACCTTCAACCCTGGGCCCTACAAACCGCACAAACACATGAGCGGGGGGGACATCCAGCAGTCGAAGCGTGCCGCTGACCTGAGCGGTTTGTTCGGTTGGGTTTTAGGGGGCTTTGTGTTTTAGGCTTTGGGTTTAGGGCTTGGTTTTCGGGGCTTTTGGAGGGTTTAGGGTTCAGAGTTTAAGGTTTTTGGCCTTGCGGTTATAGGGCTTAGGGGCTGAGGGGTGTGTTGAGGGCATGTGGTGCATCTAGCGCTTATAGAGCAAGAAGGCTTTCCGGGGCTTATAGGGCCTATGACCTATGGATTCAGAGGCTCTTCGGCTTTTTGAGGCTTTTGGTGTTTGGGAGTTATTGGGGCTTTTGGAGGTAAGGGTGGGGTTAAAGCGGTTCTTGGGCTTGGGGGGTTTATAGGTTGCCGGGATTTCACGACAGGGGCGCTGTCAGGGAAGGGTTTCGTCAGTCTCTCCCTAAACCCTGGACACTAAAACGCGAAATCCTAAACCCCTAAGCCCTAAACCCTGGGCTCATAAAGCAAGCTGCTTCTACTGGCAGCCCACGGCTTGCGGCAGAATAAGGCCTGTAGTGTTGTGGGGGTTCTTACGCAAGTAGTAGATAAACCCTGAGCCCCAAACCCTAAACCCTAAACCCTAAACCCTAAACCCTAAACCCTAAACCCTAAACCCTAAACCCTAAACCCTAAACCCTAAACTCTAAACCCCAAAGCCCCAAAAGCAAGGCAAGCGGCTTCGTTCACGAAGGAGAAGTCCACCACTGGGGAATGGAGGACCACCTTTCAGGCCCCAGATGCCCTCTGCCCACCCTTTTAAAACCCTTTTAGACCCTTTTAAACCCTTTTAAACCCCTTTTAGACCCTTCTAAACCCTTAAAAACCCTTAAAAAGCCTTAAAGCCCTCTAAACCCTCAAAACCCTCAAACCCCTTAAAACCCCTTAAAACCCCTTAAAACCCTTAAAACCCTGAGCAACCCTTTAAACCATTTGAACCTTTGAAACCCTTAAACCCTAAAGAAGGGGTTTAGGGCTTTGGGGGTCAAGATGCTTCCAGTCCAGGGCTCTCGTTTTCCGGGCTTAGGGTTTGAAGGCTCGGCTCGGCTTTTTTGTATTCTAAACGCCTTCACTAGGCTGCCCAGTAACCTAGGCTTAAAAAGGGTACCCTTTTTTGCTAAAAACGGGTTTATAAGGGAACCTAAACCCCCCAAGAAGGGAACAAGGGTACTACTGGGCATCCTCGTTCACCTACTTGTTTGGCTCATGCCTGGGACAGGGTTGAGGGTTCAGACTTTGATCGCGTCCGGGGGCCTCAAGGGGCAGGATCCAAGGTTTAAGTGTGCTGAGACCAAGCAGGCTTCTGGCTTAGAGACAACTTGCCGCCTTGTGAAGGTACCCTGTGTAAGCATGTGGAGTAGCTGTAGAAGTAGCGGGTGGGACGAGGGGCAACGACAGGCTCGGGGAGCTTTCAGCCCCGAAAAACCCAAGCAGCCTTAAGACCCAAACAATTCCGAATCCCTCAAACAGTCCCTAAACCCTGAACCCTTCATCCTCAACTAACCCTAAACCCTAAACCCCAAACCCTAAACAGCCCTAGCCCCTCAGAACACACCGAAAATACCCCCTCAAACCCCTAAGAAAGACCCTAAACCTTAAACCCTAAACCCTAAACCCTAAACCCGAAACCCTAAACCCTAACCCCCCCCCCCCCCGAATCCCCCGGAGCCTTGTCTCCTGGAGTTGTCCCTTCCGTAGGGATCCCCCTGGTCACCTCTGCTGTCACCTGACAGAACGACGCAGAGGGAGGGTTTAGGGTTTAGGGTTTAGGGTTTAGGGTTTAGGGTTTAGGGTTTAGGGTTTAGGGTTTAGGGTTTAGGGTTTAGGGTTTAGGGTTTAGAGGTTTAGAGGTTTAGAGGTTCAGAGGTTCAGAGGTTTAGAGGTTTAGAGGTTCAGAGGTTCAGAGGTTTAGAGGTTTAGGGTCTGGGTTTAGCGTCTGGGGAACTAGGCTTAAAGTTCAGGGCTTAGCTGGGTTCTGGGTGTCAGCTCCCGGGCCTCACGCTTCGAATTTTTAAGTTCAGCGTTTAGCTGGAAACACTAAATCCTATATCCGAAGCCCTAAACCCTAAACCCTACACTGAAACCTTGCCTCGGTCATCACCAGGATTGTGTTCCCACCCTCAGACAGATTCCGCAGCAGGCCCTGCGGCACCACAACCTCGGCAGGAGCCAGCTCTCCCCCCACACACAACACGGGGTGCGAAGCATCACACGGGTGTTTCCCAAATTAGGGTACCGGCACCGCGTTTATCCCCAAATAGAACGAGTGTAACCCATTAAGGGTTCGTTCGTGTACCCCAGTGCTTTTTCGATGCATCGATTCCTCCACCTCCCAAACCCAGGGCCATGTTTTGACTCAATGCCACCCCCCCCCCCCCCCGGAACCCTAAACCCTCTTATGTCGATTGGGTTGAGGGTTTAAGTTGTTTTTTGCGGGGGCCGGGGGGGGGGATATGAGGGATGAGGGATGCAGACAGGCAGCCCTCAGAGGGTTAACGGTTAAGGGTTTGCTGGGTTTGGGGTTTAGGGCTTGAGGGTTTACGGTTGAGGGTGCAACCCAACACAAATCCAGCGTCAAAAGGAGCCTACAAGGCCCCACTACGAAAGTCTAGGGCTTTTAGGGTTTAGGGTTTAGGGTTTAGGGTTTAGGGTTTAGGGTTTAGGGTTTAGGGTTTAGGGCTACATGCAGCCGGAAAGCGCTGATCGTCCCAGGCTCACTCGAGCGCGTGAGCGTCAACACCGTCCTGGTTACTCTCACACTGCGCCAAGGACATAAGCAGGGTTTAGGGTTTAGGGTTTAGGGTTTAGGGTTTAGGGTTTAGGGGTTAGGGGGTACCCTTCTTCGTGTTTCATGGGCATCATTTAGAGAAGCTGAACAATAGCCCAGGCTAAATGCTCAGAGAAAGGAATAAGCGAGGGGGGGGGGGGGGGGAACGGGGGAACCATGGGAGAACTTGTGCGGCAACCACGCTTCTTCGGCTGTCCGCGCGGGGCATCACGAAACCCGACACCCTAACCCCTGATCCATGTCCTGCTTTGCAACACTAAGGGCCGCACTCTCCGCATTGCTGCTGCTATGGATAGGGGCTAGTATTTCTGAGAAGCCTCAAGCCCTAAAGCCCACAAAGACCCTCAAGCCCCTGAAACACCCCAAAAGCTCCCGAAAACCCTAAGCCCACCTAGACCCTAAACCCTAAACCCTAAACCCTAAACCCTAAACCCTAAACCCTAAACCCTAAACCCTAAACCTGATGAAACCAAGAGTCGGAGTTTCGTCTTGTGCTGGCGCCATCTTGACAGCCGTCACGCGGCCTGTCTGGGGGACAACAAGCCTTGAGTTGTTAGGGCTTAGGGGGTTTAGTTGGGGGGTTTACTTGCGGGTTGAAATCGGGCTTCAGGGTTGAGGCACGAGATGCCAAGCCTCCGGTGTGTGAAGAAGTAGGTTCTAGACGCATCCTCCTTCGAGGGTTGAGGTTTTTTTCTTGTTTTTTCAGGGAGTTGAGGGGCTTAGGGGGTTTAGGGGGGCTTGAGGTAGGGGTTTAAGGGTCTAGGGGTTGGTGCAAAAGGCCTCAAGAGTGGGCTTTACTTCGCTTTTAAAGTGGTAGGGCCAAGAACTTGGTGCCAGTGGTCGCTCGTAGATTTCCATCCGTGCAATGGAGCTCCCCCGAAGCCCTGAACCCTAAACCCCAAACCCTAAACCCACGAGCAGCAAATACACAAACCCATGAAAGTTCTCAACCCTTCACCCGAACTCCGAACACCCTGCACCCCCAACCCCTGAACCCAACTCGCCCATCTCCCGCCACG